TGTCTGTCCGTCTGTCTGTCTGTCTATCTCTCCCTCAATCTCTCTCCCCTCCCTCCATTCCACTCCATCTAAAAGCAATAGAAAAACATCCTGGGGTGAGGATTGAAAAACACTCACAAAACTAGTTAATAGTAATAACCAGAGACATTTATTGAGCACTTTGGTGTGCTAAGTACTAGGTTCATCACTTTATATACTTTATTACATTAAAATTTCCTACCAGAGAGGTAGGCAGGCACTAGATCATTCCCACTTACAGCTGTGAAGCCTGAGGCCCATAAAGAGATTTACTTTTCTTTTAATGTATTCTTTTTTTAAATCCTCATCTGAGGACATGTTTACTGATATTAGAGAGACGAAGGGAGAGGGGAGGGAGGGAGAAAGAGAGAGAGAGAGAGATTGGCTGCCTCTCACAGGCACCCCAACAGGGGACCAAACCCACAACCTGGGTCTGTGCCCTGCCAGGGAATTGAACCCACAACAGTTCAGTGCATGGGACCTTGCGCCAACCCACTGAGCCACACCAGCCAGAGCAAGAGATCCTTCTGAGATCAGAGGCCAAAGCTGGGATCTGGCAAGATGGCCAGGCTGCCCCGCAGGGTTACCAAGGAAGCCCAGCATTTGCTGGCAGAGCCAGTTCCTGGAATTAAAGCAGAACCAGATGAGAGCAACGCCCGTTATTTTCATGTGGTCATTGTCGGCCCCGGCCCCCAGGATTCCCCCTTCGAGGGAGGGGCTTTTAAACTTGAGCTATTCCTTCCTGAAGAATGCCCGATGGCAGCACCTAAAGTACGTTTCATGACCGACATTTGACATCCTAATGCAGACAAGTTGGGAAGAACACGTTGAGATATTTTGAAAGATAAGTGGTCCCAGCCCTGCAGACTCATGCCGTTCTGCCATCCACCCAGGCTGTGCTCAGTGCTCCCAACCAGATGGCCCCACAGCCAACGACGTGGCGGAGCAATGGAAGACCAACGGAGCCCACGCCATAGGAGCAGCGGAGCAGGGACTAGGCTATATGCCATGGAACATATTTAAGTCGATCTGATCATCACGTGTGCATCACTTGTGTTCTGCCAAGATTTCTTCCTTTTTTGTTTGCATTTAATGGACACAGTCTTAGAAATATTACAGAATCAAAGCCCAGACATCTTCAGTCCTTTGGTGACTGAGTGCACATTAGCAAATCTAGGTCTTGTCCTGACTCACTGTTGTAAAGCATGAGCAGGAGCTAGAAGCGCCGTCTGGATTGCTGTGAAGCGTTCACAAGCAGTGACCCGCTCTGCTCTTGTTCATCCCCCCACTGTGGTTTAGTAGAAAGCACTGTGAGCGAAGGGGGCTGCCGGGGCTAGCTGCAGGGGGTGGGTGTTTTTCTTTATTTTATTGTTGTTTTGAGGGAGGAAGTCCTTTAATTTTACTTTTAATGAGCTCCTTTCCCCCTGTTTATGGTGACCTGATTGCATTGGTTAAAAGCAGCTAACCAGTTCTTCACAAGAGGCCCTAACCAAGTCTCACTTTATTTAGACGCTGTAGATGGACAAGCTTGATTGTTTGAACCAAAAATGGGAACATTAAACAAACACCAGGGCCCTCACTAATCACACCGTGACTTTGCTGCCAAATGTGGAACCCTCCCTTCAGGAAGAGTCTGTGACCATTTCATGTGGCTTGTCTGGAAACTTCTGTAAATCTTGTGTTTTAGTAAAATATTTTTTGTTAAAAAGAAAAAAGAGATTTACTTTTTTTTAATATATTTTTTTATTGATTAAGATATTACATATGTGGAGATTTACTTTTTAATTTACTCTAGAACAGGGCGTGGCAAACAGCCCATTGGCTGAATCCAGCGAACAGGGTGTTCACTTCAATATTGTTGAGCGCTGCCTCCACACTGCAATGGTAGAGCGGGCAGCTGTGACAGAGGCTGTAGGGCCTGCAGAACCTAAAACATGCTCTCTGGCCCTTCACGGGAAGAGCTTGCTGACCTCTGCTCTAGAAAGTGACAGTCTGCCTGGGACTGGACGGAACCAGGTCTGTCTGGTTCCAGAACTCCTCGCTGCTTTGTATCCTGTTTTTGGTTGTTTCTTTGTTTGCGATATCCCTGTGCTGGCTGCACAACAAAAGGCTTTCTTTCCTGTCCCTTTGAGGGACGTCTCCCCTTCCCTCTCCGAAGCCAGGAGTGAAAGTGGAAAGGGATTTGGAGAGTCCGATCTCTCCATCCTCAGGCAAAGTTTTGGGAGAACAGAGAAACCCAAGTAAGGGAGAGAGGCAGACTGAGTAGGCGAGTTCCTGGAATCAAGGCCAGTGACTGTACCTTGTTGTCCCCCGGCCCAGGCCAGGGCTGTGTTTAGAGTCAGCTGGACTGGAACTGGCAAGGTGCAGGAGTTGAAAAAGAATCCCAGGCTTGTGTAGGTTTCACCTGCTCCCAGGGACCTTTGAGGGCTCCAAACCAGTCCAGTCACTCAGCAAATACTCAGTACCGGCTCTGTGCCAGGCCCTGTTCTAGACACTGGGAATAAATAGAGACTCAGATCCCAGCTCTCCGGAGACAATGTCTCCATTAGCCAGTAACTTAATAAACCAATATTAAATCGTAACAAGATCTATGCAGAAAATAAACCAAGCTGATACGATTGAGAGTAACTTCTAAGCAGGCAGGGAGGACCTCTCTGAAGAAGCGCCATTTAAGCTGAGGCCAAAAGGACAAGGGGCGAGCTGTGGGGTAATCAGGTGGAAAGCATTCTAAGCAGCAGGAGCAGCGATGCAAAGGCTGTGCGCAAGAATAGCTCCAACTGCGTGTTCAAGGAACCAAAGGCCAGGGCGCCTGGAGCAGAATGAAAGTGGGCGATAGTGGTGCCAGGTGAGACGGGGCAGGCCCTATCACATGCCGGGAAGTCAGGGCAAGGAAGAAGGAGTTTATTCCAAGTGTGATGGAAAGCCACTGGGTGGATGATGGCTAATGATGCCAATGATTGTAGCTAACATTTTTAAAATTTTTTATTGATTTCAGAGAGAAGAAGGGAGAGGGAGAGAAGGATAGAAATATCAATGATGAGAAAAGATCATTGGTTGGCTGCCTCCTGCACTCCCCACACTGGAGATCAAGCCCTAAACCCAGGCATGTGCCCCAACCGGAATCGAACCTTGACGTCCTGGTTCATGGGTCAACACTCAACCACTGAGCCACACTGGCTGGACTGTAGCTAACATTTTTTTGAGCCTTTACTCAACGCTAGGTGCTTAGTAAGCCCTTTAAATGCATTAACTCATTTAATGCTCACAAGCAATCCAGATGAGGAAACAGAGGCCTGAAGAGGTTAAACCATTGGTACTAGGTTACACAGCTACATTTATAGCCCGCTGGGGCTGCAGCGGGGACAGTCAGTTGCAAGGGATAAGATCTTATATGAGACAACAATGACACAAAGACAGAGCTTGCACTGCATTTAATGAGAGAAAGGAAAACAAACATCCACCAGGTTTCCTCCAGGAAGAGCGAGGGTTACTAGAGTTCAAACGGACTTTCCAGTGCTTCCTCCTCTGGATACCCTTAGCACGTTCTCTTACACCCGTTCTGCCTTGCTTGCTGTCTGTCCCCTAATCATAACAGCTAGCGTTTACATGGTGCTAATGGTGTTCTGCCTTGCTTGCTATCTGTCCCCTAATCATAACAGCAAGCATTTACATGGTGCTAATGGTGTGCCATGCGTCTTGCCCAGCACATGCACTATGCCCACTTAGTTTATTCTTGCAATAAGCTTATCGTTTCCCTTTTAGAATGAGGAAATAGAGGCTGAGAGCTGCTTACGTGAGGAGTCCAAGACTTGGTGCTAAGAATTTATAGCCTAGGATTTGAACCCTGGGCGGTCAGACACAAGAGTCTAAGCTTTTAGCTACTGGGCTATGACCACCCACCTCCCACCTTTCCATGAACAGTGAGTCCATGGGTTCCCCAATAGAGGCCACAGGATGGCCTTTACCTTTCGTTGCCTGAGGAGGGTTAACAATAGTGCCCACCTCACAGGCTCAGAGCTAAATGAGTTCATGTGACCTAGGGAGGCCAACGTTCTGGTTTGCCTGGGACTGGAGGGGTTCCCAGGAAGGGAGACATTCTGTTTCTTTCTTTTCTTTTAGAGAATTTTTATTAGGGTTTATTTAAGCCACGCTGACGACATCCTGGGAGGCAAGATCTCAAATGCAAGTTGGGCATGAGGCTTGTTGCTCAATACCTATTCCATGGACGTTAAGTCATTATTGCTTCTCCTTTCCTCTGTGATCAGTTTGACAACCAAAAGGTAGCAGGCACCTACTCTGCCCTGTCCTAGGAGCTGGGAACACTGTAGGCAGTAGATCTTCAGAGGGAGATGGGGGCAGGGGTGTTATTGTTCAGAGAACCTAGCTCCAAAGGTTCACACACAAAAATTCACAGTTCCCGGGCAAATGCCAAACCTTCTGGGGTGATTCCAGCAGCCTGTGTGGACTTGCTTGGACCCCGTGGGAGAGGTTCCAGGGCCCTTTACGTCCCCAGGTAGTGACACAGAGACAGTTGGGGGATTGTGGGCGGAAGGGAAGGAAAACATGTGCCTTTGGCATTGACTTTCTGGCTTGCCCGGGGCTGTAATAAAGGCCTAAGCGGCAGTTCCTTTTATCACACACATTTCGCTACACGAGGGAACTGACTGACCCGCGAAGTGACTTGCCCAGGAACATGCAGGAGGAGATGGGCAACTGGAATCTGAACCAGCGAAGCAGGGAGGGCTGGTGCCGGTGCCAGCGGGCCGACTCCTGCACTTGCCTCCCTCCACCCGGCTTGGGTCCCCCGCTTGTCTTGACAGCGGCCGGGCTTGTCACGGGGCTCTGTACAGCTCCCTCCACTCTCGGGGCTGCCAGCGTCCCGCCCCATCCCCTCCCAGCCCACGAGGGGGGAGGAGAGAGCGGGAAGGGGAGGGGGGTCAGAGGGCCGGGCTTTATAAAGGCGGCTGGACCCGCGCGGCCAGCCAGACCCCGCCGCCAGACCTCCAGCGCCGCCCGCCGCCCCACGTGACCGCGCCGACCCTCCCGTCCCAGCTCCACAGCAGTGAGTTGGGGTGCGTCCCCCTCCACCCCCAGACCTTCGCCGAGCAGCGCGGTCTACTGAACCCAGGTGGGGAGGAGACCCCATGAAGGAGGGCACTGAGATGGGGGTCACCACGCATACTCCTGATGGTAGGGACTTAGGACCCAGGGGAGCTGGCAGACCCCCTCCGCCCCGCCCCCCCCCCCCCCCCCCCGGCGCCCCAGGCTCGGGGTCATGGAGACTGCAAGCTACCCCCCAAGAATGCGCGTGCAGCCGTTCCCATGGTAACGTGCTAGCCGTGCCCGCCCTCCGCTAAAGAAAAGGAGAGGTTGTTGGGGAAACGCGGGACTGTTCCCCGGAAGGTCCAAATTCGTCACGGAGCGGTTGCACGAGGGAACCAAGGATGTCCCCCCCACACCCCCGTGCCCCACATCCTCTGGAAGCCAGAGCGCCAGTCGCTAGCCTCTCCAGCCTCACTTTCTGCGTCTGTCAACACTATTGGCCCAGGTTCCCCGAAGAGCCATCTCGAGGGTAACGATCCGGACCAGCCCCGCCTCCGGTTGGACCTCCGAGGAGAGTTGAGGGACCTGGTGACTCCCGTGACCCCACCTTACCCAGGCCCGCTCGTCATGGCCCGCTTCGCAGCCCTCTTCTTGGCCCTGCTGGCGGGAGCTCACGCCGACGCCGAGATTCCCGGCTGCAAGATCCGCATCACCTCCAAGGCGCTGGAGCTGTGTAAGCGCGGGGCGGGCGGGGGCGGTGGAGGGTGGGGTCACCCCAAAGTGGGCGCAGGAGCCAAGGCCTTGCTTCTGCCTCAGTGAAGCAGGAGGGACTGCGCTTTCTGGAGCAAGAGCTGGAGACCGTCACCATCCCGGACCTGGGAGGCCGCGAGGGCCACTTCTACTACAACATCTCCGAGTGAGCAGGGGCCACGGGGCGGGGCTGCGAGTGTGGGGCGGGGCCCATAGGGGAGGCGGGGGCGGGGCCAATAGGGGAGGCAGAGCCTAATAGGATGGGCCAAGTCGATGAAGGCTAAGCCTGCCGGCATTGGTGGGATCAAGCAGGTGGGCGTGGCCTAGGAAATGTGAGCGGGGCCAGGAACAGCTAAGTCAGTGGGTCTCAACCTTGGCTGCACATTAGAATCACCTGGGAATCTTTTTTTTATATATATAATATATTTTATTGATTTTTTACAGAGAAGAAGGGAGAGTGATAGAAAGTTAGAAACATCGAGGAGAGAGAAACATCGATCAGCTGCCTCCTGCACACTCCCCACTGGGGATGTGCCTGCAACCAAGGTACATGCCCTTGACTGGAATCGAACCCGGGACCCTTGAGTCCAAAGGCTGATGCTCTATCCACTGAGCCAAACCGGTTAGGGCACCTGGGAATCTTTTTAAAATCCTGATTTCTGGGCTTCATCCTCTGGAAAGTCTGTTTCTTTGTTAGGGGGTGGGGCCAGAACATTAGTAACAAAGAAACAGAATTTCTGGAGGATGAGGCCCAGAAATCAGGATTTTAAAAAGATTCCCAGGTGATTCTAATGTGCAGCCAAGGTTGAGAACCACTGAGCTAAGTGGAGCTGAGGCGTGGTCAAAGAGCACCAGAGAAGAGTTTAGAAACTCGACAATGGATGAGAGTGGGGTTTAGGGCACCCGGGTGGAGCTAATGGGAGAGGTCCTGAGAGCAGAGGAAGGCCTGTAGCTTAGGACGATGGTGACAGGTGGATCGGATCTTAAGTGATGGAGACAAAATCCAGGGTGTGGGCGGGAAAGGAGTGCCAGCAACAAGGAGAGATGAAGCTCACTTTTTTTTTTTAAAAAAATGTATTTTATTGATTTTTTACAGAGAGGAAGGGAGAGGAACAGAGAGTCAGAAACATCAATGAGAGAGAAATATCTATCAGCTGCCTCCTGCACACCCCCCAGTGGGGATGTGCCCGAACCACAGTACATGCCCTTGACCGGAATCGAACCCAGGACCCTTCAGTCCGCAGTCCGACGCTCTATCCGCTGAGCCAAACCGGTTATGGCTTGAAGCTTACTTTTAACACCTGAGTCAGGAGGAGCCCATCTTTGAGCTACGCTAGAGTCCAGGGTGGGCATGTGAGGAGCAGTAGGATAATCCATTCCACCCATCCCAGTTTCCCCAGGCCCCGACTGGAAGCAGAGGGGCTGAATTTCTCGTGGTTGGGCGGGATCCCCTCTTGGCTTTGAATGTGACCCTGATGCCTCCTGCAGGGTGATGGTCACAGAGCTGCAGCTGACATCCTCTGAGCTCCATTTCCAGCCAGAGCAGGAGCTGGTGCTACAGACCAGCAATTCCTCCTTGGGGCTGCGCTTTCGGAGACAGCTTCGCTACTGGATCTTGTGAGGACCCGGCACCCTCAGGGGAGTGGCAAGTGGATCAGGAGGGCTGGGGATGGAGGCTGTGGGCAATCCCTTAGCCTTTCTGAGTCTCAATTTTTTAATCTGTACAATAGAGACAGTCATACCCACTTCATACAATAGGGACTAAGAAAGTGCTCTTGGGGTTCAGAGGAGGGCAGTCTGGGGAGTATCTGTACAATAGGGGTTGATAAGGTTTGGCAGAATGGTAAATGCAAAGGTGAAGCCTTATTAAGAGGTATCATGATGTATGGGGGTGGGGAGCAGGCAGTGAAGGCCTGGTTGACTCCAAGGTTGTGTGAAGGTTAACCCTGCTCCCCCTCCCGACAGCTATGATGGGGGCTATATCAACGCCTCTGCCCAGGGTATATCCATCTACACCGCTTTGCAGCTCTCCCGAGATCCCACTGGCCGGATCAAAGTGGCCAACGTCTCCTGCCAGGCCTCTGTCTCCAGGTTGTATGCAGCCTTCGAAGGAACTTTCAAGTAAGCCCCATTCCCAACCCCAGTGCACCCATTTTGGGCCCCACAGCCCACCCACCTAGTGCAATGTAAAACGCCTAGGCTTGGGAGTCAGACCAACTGGGTCCAAATCTCAGCGCCATCATGCCCTGGCTGTGTGACCTTGGCAAGTCCCTAAAGCTCTGTGCCTCAGTTTCCTCATTGGTAACATGAGGATGATAATCAAATCTGTTTTATAAGATGTTGTGAGGCCTGTTTGTGTTAATATATGTAAAACTAGAACAGCACCTGGCACCTATATATATAAAAGCCTAATATGCAAAGTGTCCCCTCAGGAGTTTGATCACTCGCTATGACGTGCACTGACCACCAGAGGGTGGCGCGGAACAAAGGAAGACCCCAGCAGGCAGCCTGCAGCGCTAGGGACCCTACCTGTGTACAAATTTCATGCACTGAGCCTCTAGTATAATAATAAGTGGCTAGCCACTTAACCGTGAGAATAAATGTGCACGGTTGGACATGAACTGGGTGCTCAATATTTGGTGGCTCTTACTAATTAGAACAAAAATAATAACATAGGCTCAGGTTTGGGGCTGAGAAGGGGACTTTATGCTGGTTCTGGAACAGGGTTAGGGAGAGGGGATGGTAGATTTGTCATATAGTGTAAGTACACTGTCAATTTTTTACTTGTTCAACAAGGTGTATGACAGTCCTGAGGATTCAGAAAAGAGCAGAGGCTAGTTGGAGGGGGAAAAATTTTGTCACTGGGGCCTTGAAAGGGACGAAGAAAGTGCTCTCGGGGTTCAGAGGAGGGCAGTCTGGGGAGACTGCCTAAAGGAAGCATCTGAGCCCAGACTGGGAAATATGGAATGGGGGCATTGAGGGTAGAAGGGAGCGCATGGGTAGCCACATGGAAGTGCAGATGCTCAGAACGGGTTTGAGGAACTGTGGCTAGATTCATTTGGCTGCTGGGGGGCTGGTGTAGGAGAGGTCTTGAGAATCAGGCTGAGGGGATTTGGACATGAGCCATGGAAAACCTCTATTAAAGCGCTGGTAATTCAGTCAAAGCTGATGTGTCCAACCCCTGCCTCCATCTCCCTGATCAGTGACTTTTCCTGGACCTAGACTGGGATAGGGGCAAGGTCTGGACTCACGGCTCTATTCTCTCCTCACAGGATAGTGTATGAATTCCTCTCCACATTCATCACCTCAGGGATGCACTTCCTCCTCAACCAGCAGGTGTGGGCAGTGGCAAGTCTGGGGGACAGTGGGGGTGACCTCTCTTTCAAAGACCTTGACTCTGGTGCCCACCTCTCAGATCTGCCCAGTGATCCACCATGCAGGGATGGTGCTGCTCAACTCCCTGCTGGACACTGTGCCTGGTGAGTTGGTGCTGGCGGGGGTGAGGGGTGGGGGGCTCTGGGTCAGGCCCTGGGGCTGGAATGGGGGTGAGGAGGAGGCTGGGTGCACAGCTGGCGGGCAGTACTTCAGAGTAAACCCCTAAGAACATGGAGCCCCAGCTGCAGAGGCAGGTGGCCGCTGCTGAGTTACTGCATGACCCAAGGTAAGTACTCACTTTTCTCTGGGCCTTGGTTTCCTCATTTTGCTGGTGAGGCCTCCCCCTGGGGTTGCTGTGAGGATTAACTGAGGGGCTGGTTGTCAAGGTCCTCAGTATGTGCTTGCTGATCACTGGGACCCTACTTGTGTCCATCACCTGGCACTTAATAGGTGCTTAATTAATGTGAATTCTCTTTTTGTCAGCCGTGGGGATGGGCAGTGAAGGAGGAAGCAGGGGAAACCATGAGGGAAAGGAATCCCTCGCCATCGTGTTTAGGGATTTGATGAAACCCCTGCAGCAGTAGTCGTCGTCGTCGTAATAAAAATAGTAACAGCTGCCATTATTGAGCACTTACGCACACCAGGCACTAAGTGCTTTCCACATAAAACTAATTTGATCCTCGTAACAACCCTGTGAGGAAGTGTTTTATGGATGAGAAACTGAGGCCCAGACAGCTTAAGCACCTTGCCTCACCCAGCTTAGAGTAACGTGGCCCAGACAGCTTAAGCACCTTGCCTCACCCAGCTTAGAGTAACGTGCGCTCTTCCCCTCAGTGCGAAGTTCTGTGGACAATCTCGTTGGCATTGACTACTCCCTCGTGAAGGACCCCGTGGTCTCCACCAGCTGTATGGACATGGAGTTCCGGGTGAGCTGCCAGGCTGGTGCGTCTGTCACCAAATTCCCTCCTTCTCCCCAAAGTTGCTAGTTTCATCTTCCTAAAGCACAGCTCTGATGAGCCACTCCATTGCCGGGACTGCTGCAGCTCCCACTGCCCACAGAATTAGCTCCATCTCCCGGGGGTGGCATTGGAGCCTTTACTCTTGTCTGCCCCCCCCCCCTTCTAACTTCACCCTGTTCCTCTGTCTCAAATATGTCCCTCGATTCCTACCTCAGGGCCTTTGCTCAAGCACCAATTTTCCCCACGTCCCCTGAAGGAGTTGGGCATAGAACTCTGTGCACATAATCTCATTTCATCCTCTCATAATCCTGTGAGTCAGGTACCATTTAGGAATGTGGAGACTTGCTCAGAGGTGATGTCACAGCACCTTTGCTCCTCGTGGGGGACAGCAGTTTCAGAGCAGACTCCAGAGCTGGAATGCCTGAAGTTCAGATACTAGCTCTGCCACTTTCTAGCTGTGTGACCCTAAGCAAGTGGCTTTCCTTTTCTATGGGAATGGAGCCCACAACCCTGGGCATGTGCCCTGACCGGGTATTGAACCCTGCCCTCTTGGTTCATAGGTCGACACTCGAGCACTGAGCAACACTGACCGGGCTATTTTGATTGATTTTAGAAAGGGATAAAGTGATAGAAACATCAATTGACTGCCTCCAGCATGCCCTCTATCAGGATCAAGCCTGCAACCGGGCACGTGCCCTGACTGGGAATCGAACCATGACCTTCTGGTTCATGGGTCAATGCACAACCACTGAGCCACTCTGGCCAGACCCATTGCCTTTTAGGAAATGTACTTACGGGTCCCCCAAGGACAACAACTGGGTCCAACTCCCCACCACTCCTCATAGTGCCTAGCCCTGGGCCTGGAGACATCCCTGTGCAGGACCAGTTTGCCTGGGTCCTGACCCTGATCCCCCTCCTCCAGGGGGCCTTCTTTCCCCTGGCCCAGGGGAACTGGAGCCTGCCTAACCGGGCAGTGGAGCCCCAGCTGCAGGAGGAGGAGCGGATGGTGTACGTGGCCTTCTCTGAATTTTTCTTCGACTCCGCTTTGGAGAGCTACTTCCAGGCGGGGGCCCTGCAGCTGTCGCTGGTGGGGGACAAGGTATGCCAGGGCCTGTGTGTGGGATGAGCAAGAGGGGCTTGTGATGGAGCTCCTGACGACCTGCCTCACCCCTAATTCTCCTGACAGGTGCCCAAGGACCTGGACATGCTGCTGAGGGCCTCCTACTTGGGGAGCATTGTCTTGCTGGTGAGTGTGGGCGGGCGGAGGGAGGTGCCAGGGCGGGTGCGCACGCCACCCGTGGGGACCAGTGAGGCGTGCAGGTGGGGGCCCCAAGTGGCAGCCATGGAGTAGACAGACCTGGCCTCTGGCCAAGTCCCCTCACCTGGCTGAGCCTGTGGCCAAGTCTGTGCAGGGGGTTCACTAGCTCCTGCTCCGTCTGTCCTTCATGAAGCCGGGATGAGGACGAGCCGAGAACCCAGCTCTGCAGAGGAGTGCAGGGGCTTTGACTGATGTTATTCTTTTTGCTTATTTTCCTTTGCTTAAGGGGGATATCCTCACTAGAGGATATTTTTTTCCATTTATTTTATTTTATTTTTTAAAATATTTTTTATTGATTTTTTACAGAGAGGAAGGGAGAGGGACAGAGTCAGAAACATCGATGAGCGGGATACATCGATCAGCTGCCTCCTGCACACACCCTACTGGGGATGTGCCCGCAACTACCGTACATGCCCTTGACTGGAATCGAACCTGGGACCCTTCAGTCCGCAGGCTGACGCTCTATCCACTGAGCCAAACCGTTTAGGGCTTCATTTATTTTTTTAGGGAGGGAAAGTAGGGGGAGAGAAACATGGACTCTAACGTGAAAGAGACACACTGATTGGTTGCCTCCCGCACATGCCCCAACGAGCCAGGGATGACCTGCAACCAAGGTACCTGAGGTATGTGCCCCTGGCTGGGAGTCAAACCCCTGACCCTTCTGTCTGCAGGTTGATGCTCTAACTGCTGAGCCAAACTAGCCAGGGCAGGGAGCTTAAAATTTAACAAGGAATATATCGGTGTCCTTGGTTCAGTTTTATAAATGATGGAGCTGATATCTGAACCTGGATTATGAATCTGGGATTCCTGGTCATACTGGCATTCACTACACTGTACAACCTCGTAGGTTGTCATGAGGATTAAACGAATTAATATGCATAAAGCAAGTATAACAGTACCTGGAACAGGAAGTGCTCACTGAACACTAGCTGCTGTTACTATTGCTATCATCACCATCATCCAACTTACGGCCAGCACTGTTCAGAGCATGGACTCCATTGCCAGGCTGCCTGGGTTTGCATCCCCATTCTGCAACGAGTAACTATATGACCTCGAACAGGTTACTTAACCTCTCTGTGCCCTAATTCCCCCATCTCGGGAAAGAACACCTGCCTCACATGGTTATGGTGAGGTTTAAATGAAACGTCTGGTTACGAGTAAGCACTCCTGATCAGCGTGGAAGCCTAGTAGTGTGTCTACACTGCCCCCTAGAAGAAACAGCACAGCAGTCTACAGAAAGGAAACACTGCAGGGACTGGGACATGGACTGTCTCCGAGGAGTGTGGATGGGCGATGGGTCATGAATACTGAGAACTGAAAGCAGAGAGAGAAGGGAGACATCCCTAAAAGACATTTGTGTGAGCAAAGGCAGAGGCTGCACACAATTCTGCAGGGTTGGGAAGCTACACTTTTTCGTATTTGTCCTTTGGGCTCTCAGAGGGCAGACCTTGAGTCCCCCACCTCCGGGGCTCACCTGGGAACAGATCCGGGATTGATCCTCCCTCCCTGCTCCATAGCAAAGCCCTGCGGTGATTGACTCCCCGTTGAAGCTGGAGCTGCGTGTTGTGGCACCACCGTACTGTACCATCAAGCCCTCCGGCACCACCATCTCTGTCACTGCCAGTGTCACCATCGCCCTGGTCCCACCCAACCAGCCTGAGGTCCAGCTGTCCAGCATGATCATGGTGCGCGCACCACAGCGAGGGCTGCGGAGGGTTGGAGAGAAGCGGGCTGGGCACCTGCCTGGTGAGTAACACGTTACCCCTCCCCACGTTCCCCCAGGACGCCCGTCTCAGCGCCAAGATGGCCCTCCAGGGGAAGGCGCTGCGCGTACACCTGGACCTGCGCAAGTATGAGACGTCTGAAAATCTCGGGCAAGCCCTTAACCTCTCTGAGCCTCAGTGTCTTCAGGATAATCACTCTGCCTAACAGAACTGGGGACCTAAAATTCTCTTACCAAGACGCCACTGAGGAGCTGTGGTCTTTAATACAAAGAAAGGGCTAGTTTGAGAGGTGACCAAACTAGCCCAGTGAGGTTAAGGGACGTGCTCAGTCACACAGCAGCGCCTAAGAACATGGGTTTTGGCAGACACCCAGCACAACTTGGCTTTGTCATTTTTTTTTTTTAACTTATTGATTTTCGAGAGAGGGGAGAGAAACATTGATTTATTATTCCACTTACTGACGTATTCATTCGTTACTTCTGGTATGTGCCCTGACTGGGGATCGAACCCGGCATCCTTGGCATATTGGGATGACGCTCTAACTGAACTACCTGGCCAAGACTTTAACTTCTTGAACACATTTCGTGTGTGGCAGGGAGTAAGCACTATACTTTTTTTTATTCACTATTATTTTTTTATTTCTATTGATTTCAGAGAGGAAGAAAGAGGGAGATAGAAACAACAATGATGAGAGAGAATCATTGGTCAACTGCCTCCTGCACGCCCCCTACTGGAGATTGAGCTGGCAACCCGGGCATGTGCCCTTGAGCGGTATTGAACCTGGGACCCCTCTATCCACTGAGCCAAACCAGCTAGGGCAGCACTGTACTTTTTGTTAAATAAAGATAAGCAGCACACGTCCTTGCAGTTGCTCAGTGGTTAGAGTGTGGGACCATGCATGGAAGGGTCTCGGGTTTGATCCCTGGCCCCCGATCCCCGGCACCTGTTGGGGCACATGTTGGAAGCAACCAGTCGATGTTTCTCTCTCTCCCCGTAAAAAAGAAAAAAAAAATCAATGGAAAAATATCCTCTAGTGAGGATTAACAAAAATAATAATAAGCAACACAAGCTACCAGCAGAAGTCTGGCATGTAGGAAGTGCTCAACAAATAAGCAGCAGCCAATGTGGAAAAAAAGAGGCCTAGAAAAAGTGGCTCACCAAAAAGACACATCTGGATGTCCTGTGAGCATTGATCTATGAACCAGGTCATGGTTCGATTCCTGGTCAGGGCACGTGTCCAGGTCGCAGGCTCAATCCCCAGTAGGGGGTGTGCAGAGGGCAGCTGGTGGATGATTCTCTGCCATCACTGGTATTTCTAGCTCTCTCTCCTTCTCCCTTCCTCTCTTTGAAATCAATTAAAAAAAAAAGCACACCTGGAGTTTAAAACCCCCTGGAAAGGTGTGGAGGTGGGACACCTGAGACTGACACTCAGGGTTCTGGTGGCGAGGCCTGGGTGGCCTAATGGAGGGGATCTATGCCCACCCGGCATTTCTCTCTCTCCCACAGGTTCCGCATCTACTCGAACCAGTCTGCACTGGAGTCACTGGCAGTGAGTTGGGAATGGTGGGTGGGCGGAGACTGGGGTCAGGGTGAGCGGCCAAGGCCAGCCCACCTGCTCTTCCCACTCTGACTCCGCCCCACCTCCCTCCCAGCTGATCCCGCTGCAGGCCCCTCTGAAGACTATGCTGCAGTTTGGGGTGATGCCCCTGCTCAATGGTAGGGTAGGGGTATGAGGAGGGCGAGGAGGAGAGGGACCTGGGTGGGCCCAGACTGAGCCAGCTGTCCTTACCCACAGAGCGGATCCGGCGTGGGGTGCAGATCCCACTACCCGAGGGGATGGACTTTGTGCGAGAGGTGGTGACGAACCACGCGGTGAGTGGGGGCACAACGGGGGAGGGCACAGCCTTCCTCTCCCTCAGCAGGTTGGGAGTGCAGCCCAACCTGGTATCAGCACCTCCCTCATCAATTGCTCCCTCCCATTGTAATCTTACATCAGACCCCTCCAGCTCACCTTGGAATACTCTTCCCGATTCCAACTCCAATGCCTACTAATCTTTCAGGTCTTAGCTAAGTGGTCACCTCCTCTAGGAAGCCCTCCTTGAGCCCCACGGGCTGTATTCCTGCAGCCTCTACTTCAGCACCTTCACAGCAAGTTAAAACTGCTTTGCTGTGCCATCTGTCCCACTAGATTGAGAAGCCCCTCAAGGCCAAGACTCTCTTTATCTCTAAACTCTGGCCTCAGTACTGGAATGAATAGACTTCCTTCCCTGCCCCGCTGCACAGGGCTTCCTCACCATCGCGGCTGACCTCCACTTTGCCAAAGGGCTGCGAGAGGTGATTGAGAAGAACCGGCCTGCGAACACCATGGACTCCGGGGTACCCAGTGCCCCACCACCCTCCACAGCAGCTGCCTGAGCCCTCAACCCCGCCCCTGGCAGTTGCATTCAGGACCAATGCCTCTTATCCCCTTTCACCCCCTCACAGCTTACAGTACCCTCTTTAACCCCCAGTGCCACAGAGAAGAAGAGGTTGTAAATGGTACCAAGTTTAATTCCATAATTACACTCAGTCCATCAATTACAGTCTGTCCAACCTCCCAGTGGGCTGTCCTGAGCTCTACTGTGTTCCTGGGGTGGCATCAATGCATTAAGGGCATTGTTGAAGCAGGGAGGGGACCAGGCCCTACCCGTCAGGAATAAAGTGCTAAGTCCCTCACTGCCCTGCAGGGCATTTTGCATTAGGGAGGCCTCCCTTCTAGCAGGAGAGGCTGGAGGGGCTGCCCCGTGGTCATCAGTATGGCTGCTTATTCAGGAAGCGGGAGAACATGGTGAGGGCAGCCTGTGGCTTGTCAGTGGGGACCATGTGTCCAGCGCCCTGAGGAGCAAAGCTTTGTAAGATTCCCTCCCTTGCCCTGGGGGCTTCCTTCATCCCATTGGATCCCCCTAGCCAATGAGGTTCCTCCTCCACCCACCCTGCCCCAAACCTTCCAATCTTCATTCTCCCACTCTCCCCCACTGCGAATACTTGCCCTTGGGGGGCCAGATGGAACCCAGGATAAAAGTGGGAAGGAAAGGGAAAGGACGGGTGGGTCCTGCCCCATCCCTCTCCAGCTAGCCCTCCCTCGCCAGGCCCAGGCCCTACCTTGATGGTGAGAAAGGCGATGTTGGAGAACTCCTTCACGAAGCCCGCAATCTGCTCCCCACTGTCCCCGTATTTCACTAACCAGGGCCGGCGCTGTACCTCCATCTGCCCCACCAGGAGAGAATTAGCAGCCGGCAGCCACCCGCCATTCCTACTCACAGACACCAAACCTCAAGACCTTAGGGGCTGGGAACTCCTCCAGGTTTGCCCTGTCTGCCAGGAGTGCGCACCCTACCCCTGCACCAGCCTCGCCCCGCGGCCGACATCCCTGCCTTACCTTCTGGTTGAGGGAATCCACAAACCACTCATCCCCCAAGAAATTGCAGGCCATGTCCACATCTCCATTGTAGAGCAGGATCCGGTATTTCTGGAGCAGAGCAGGGGGAAAGTGGGAGGTCTGGAACAAGCCCAGGTCTCGGCCCTTACCAGGTTCAAGCCCTACCCGTAAGGGAATTCAAGGGGCCCAGCTAAACAGGATGGACCAGGAAATGCTTGTGCTTTCTGACTGCCTTCCTACGTGTCCAGTGCTCTATGAAATGCTTTACCTATAAAGGTAGATGCCATTATTAATTCCCATTTCACAGCAGGGGAAACCGAGTCTCAAGATATGTGAGAAATGTGTCTAGGGTCACATGGCTAGTAAAGAAACTTGCACCCAGGCAATCTGACCCTCTGCCCACTCTAACCACTGTGCATACAGACCTGGTCCTAACCTGGCTCTGCTAGTGTCTCCTAGGTGACCTTGGACAAGACCCTCTCCCACCCTGGGCCCCCATTTGCCAATCTGACTAGCTTTTCTCACCCTAAAGGCTTCTTGGCGAATGCAGACCCCTCAACCTCCTACACCAGAGCAGCATGGGGTGGGGCCAAAGCCAGATTCAAATCCTGACCCTCCCAACTATAGGACCTCAGGCAAGTGACTTCACTTCGTGGCGTTTCAGCTCCCCCACCCCCCACCCCCGCCCTGTTTCCTCTGCCTTGCCACACTGCTCCAGGGCCCCTGAGGCTGCTGGTGCACCCAGCTGTGCTGCCCCTACTCACCTGTGCGCCAAGCAGCTTAAGGTACTGGGAATCCATGCTTTGGTAGAGACGGCGATACTGTATATTCACAAGGAAGCTGCAGGAGCACGCGGGCAGGCCCCGGGAAGACCAGGCAGGGGGAGAAAGAGAGTCAACAGATCAGACCTCCTCTCCTGTCCCCAGGCTCTAGCCTAGGAGGCAGGCAGCTTCTCTAGCTGGGGCTGGGATTCAGAGGTCCTCGGTCCCCTCCATTTAGAAATGCATAGGGACACTTTGGTTGTCTCAATGACTGGATGCGACTGGCATTTAGAGCACAGTGGCTTGTAGGTGTGGGAACTACAGCATGTAACCGTAGGGCATGGGCACTGACCAATCGAACAGGGACCCAAGTGGCCCCTGCTGTGCCGCTCGTCACCTTTACTCACAGGGGGTCAACTGAGAGCTGAGCTGCTGGGGATGGCATTGGAGTGAGGGTGAGGGGGGAGCTGGGAGTGTGTCTACTTACTAAATGCCATGGAAATAACCCATATTTTAACCACGTGGCCATTTAAGAATGAACTGGATGAAAATCAGCTTAGGGTTTAAACACCCTGTAAAACAACTCACTGTTGCCCCGAGTGCCAAAAGATCCCGGGGAATTTTTCTGATGCCCACAAGCCCCAACAGGCTAGGCTGCCCACCCCCCGCCATTAGCAGCCACAGAACCTCACTTGCACATGTCCCAGCCAGGCAGTTGCTCGGGGATGTGGAGGGCCTTCCGCACAAAAGGGTTGTTGAGGTAGGTGGAGGCGGCTGTGGTGTTGGTGCAGGGGGGGTCCAGGTGTACCCTATTCCCGGAACGCAGCAGTGCCTGAGGGGCACAGACAGAATCAGGACCTTCGCTTCCCTGCCCTGCCCCTCTCGCCCCCAAGAAGAAGCCCAGACCCTTGCACACCTGATGCAACATCCGCTTGATTGGCAGGCGAGTGAAGATGTTGCCAAAATCCTGGACCACGACAGTATCCTTCTCATACCTGCAAGAGAAGTGGGGGGATATGTGCTTGAGCCTCAAGACGAGGCTGCGGTCGGCCCAACGGGCACCCAGCAGCTCTTACCTTACATGGCCTGGCACCCCCCCAGCACATGGGGCGTAGAGGTTGTAGATGTTGAGACCAGAGCTGGCCACGATGTGAGACACTTCCTGGAGCTGCAAAGGCACACCGAGCCACCATGCTTTACGAAAACCTGGCTTCCCGCGACATCATCAACTTGTCCCAAGATTTCGCGCTTTCCTACCTCACCCTGTCATTACCCTCCCCCTACTTTTTTCACACATAGGGAAACTGAGGCTCGGTGGAAGGAATCAGCCAGACCTGGGTTCAAATCCTAGTGCTCCTACTTCCTAGCACTGTGACTTCAACGTTCCCGGCCTCAGTTTCCTTATCCAGAAAATGTGAATAATGTATCTCCCTTGAAGATTATATGATGTGCCCTGACACCGTTCAGCAGTCCTGGCACAGGGCAGGTGGTTGATAAGAGACCTTTCCCTCCTGGGGTGACAGGATTTACCCAGAAAATCACAGGAAGGGGTGATGGGTTGGCACCCATATTCATGTGTCCCAGAGAACCCCAACTGCTGAAGGAAGCAGGATGGGACAACAATAGGGGCGGGGGCAGGGAGTCCCCCAGGAGGAGATGTGGTCCCGTTCCCGAACTGGGGGCACCAGGGATGACACGTGGTGGGGGCAGGACCTTACACTGTTCACACATTCTTGGTCTTTGTTGTCGTAGAAGTTGCACTTGTTTTGAGAGCAGCAGTGGGTCTGCAGGGAAGACCAGAGCCTGTATAGGAGATGAGAGTGAAAGTGCTTAGAGACCCACCGTGGGCAGGAAAGGCAAGAACCCCACTTTCTCCTTCCAACCTCCCGTGGTGACCAGACCCCAGGGGAGGAGGAAATATGTCACAGGGTGTGGTATGTAGGTCCCCAACCTAGCTGCCCCTGGGCCATCCTTGGTCCCTTTAAATTCTAATCTCCAGTCTTAGGCCTTTTAGCACCAGACCCTTCTAACAAACCCAGCCCCCATCTTCTGCTCATAAACCAGGGTAGGACTCAGGATATTATGTGCCTGGAGGGTAGACCTGAGATCTTGGGACCCTGTCCCACCCTGAAGATTGCCCAGCTTCCCCCTTCCCATACCTGTTCCCCAGGAGGCCATGGTAGTAGGCAAAATAGACGAGAGAGTTGTCATTCTGTTCATAGGAGGAGAGTCCATTGCCCACGGCCAGCCCCTGTGAAACAGTCAGGGCATCCAGCTCAGCGGGAGGGTGAGGAGAAGGAGCCACCCTTGACCTACACCCAGACCTTCAGCAATATGGAAACTGAAACCCAGGGTGGTTTGTGGGGGTGTGTGGGTGGGGGAGGCCACACAACATAGAGAACAGAGCTGGCAGCCCGACAGTGAGTTTCCTGTCACGGGAGGCTGCTCATGGTAAGGGTGTTATGAAGGCGTCTGGGTTGGATGGGGAAGTTGACCTGTTTGACCTCCCTGACCAGGAAGCTATGACCACCTTTCCCCTTTCCCCCCTGCAGCAGTCTTGCACCTGAAGGTTCATGCTGGGGTCCTGCATGACCAACACAGCCAGGGTGGGGATGTAGATGCCGGCATAGCTCTCTCCCGTCAGGAAAAGCTCATTGTCCTTGTACTCCGGGAAGAGGCGGAAGAAATCTTGAAGGGCCTCAAAATTACTCTGTGCGACCTGGGGATGGCAGGATGGAGGGGATCCGGAGACTTTGGTATGTGAGCTGGAATCTCCAGATACTGACACCAACCCACCCTGTTTGTGCAAGAGGAAGTGGCTTCACAGTGACAAGATCACACCGGGTAGCATTTAACAGCCAAAAATGGACTCCAAGGCCATGGTCTTTCCCTGTATCATGCCACCCTTAGAAAGCCAGGGAGGCTGGGCACACGGGCAGGACTCACCTCAGTGTCATTAGTTGCATAAAACTTGTCTTTGGAGTAGGAAAAGCCCACCCCGGCTGGGGACTCGAGGTACAGCACGTTGGCAATCTAGAGGGGAGGAGGAAAGAGCTGAAGAGGGCGCCACACCCCGTCCAAGGGCCCAGATATCCCGCAGGACCCACAGCACCGCCCATACCAGGTTCCAAGAATAGGGGTTGTACTCCAGGGTGACACCATCTGGTTGGACCTGAGAAGGAAAGATATGGCTGATTAAGTCCCAAGAGCCAACTGGGTGGAGGCAAAGGGCCACCCTGTCAAGCCGATGGTACAGAAAAATAAACTTAGGCTCAGAAAAAAGGCACATGCTGGGACAAAAGTCCTTTTCTCCCTGTTCCCCGGCCTCTTCCTTTGGGAATGTGCCCTCCCTCTCCTTCTCCTGGGTCATGGAGGAAAGAGTTGCTTTCCACTCACCAGGAAGGGGCCGTGCTCGGTGAGGAAGCCATCTAGGGAGCTGCAGCCCGGCCCTCCATTGAGCCAAAGCACCACAGGGCTGCTCTTGGGATCCTTCTGGGACTCCACGAACCTGGGAGGGGTCAGGCCTGGGTGGGTGCAGGTGGAGGGGCCTCTCCCAGCCCTCCCTGCTGCATGGCTCCTTCAGGGATTCTCAGAACCCCACCCCACCCCGCAGTCCTCTCCCGGGTGGGCGTCCCTGTGCGCCCCCCTCCCCCGCGCCCTGGGAGGGAGAGCCGCGGACCAGTAGTGGAGATGCTTGGAGCCCGAGCCTCTGAGGTAGCCCGAGTACTGGCGGAAAGATGGCTGCTTGGCCAGCCCGGGCAGACACTGGATCTCGTCTTGATCGGGGGCTGCCTCGCCTCGGGGCGACCAGAGCAGCAGCAGCAGCAGCGGGAAGAACAGCGGCGACGGCGCGGCTCGGACCATCTGCGGAGGAAGCGGCGCCGGCTGTTTACCGGCTCCCTGGCTGCGCGCAGCTGTTCCCCGGGAGGAGCTGGCGGCGCTCCCCGGCCCCAGCTCCCAGCCCGGCCGCCCCCGCTCGCTCCGCGTGCCGCCGGGGCACCCGGGATCCCTCCCAGCCTCCGGCATCCCCTCACCTCTGCTCCCCCGCGTCCTTGTTTTCCAGGAGCAGTCGGGCGCCGGGAAGTCATGTGTACCCTGAGTCACGTGTGCCCCGGCGTCACGTGACGGGCAGCCTCCCGCGGCTCCGCTGACCCGGGAATGGAGGGGGCGGGACGGTCCGCGCCCAGTCAGGGTCCGGGGCCTCGCAGGTCACCTCGCGGGTGCCCGTGATCAGGTGACTTGGGTGTGGACGGCCGGGATCCCCCAGCCTTCCATGGGCTGTTTTAGGCGGGATGGCTGAAGGAAGCGGCACTAGGACCCCCCGGACAGAGCCTCGGGGACGGGAGTGGGGGAAATACCTTCCGTGCCCCCGCGGTCACCTTCCCAGCCAGCTGCCCAAAATAGTCCCCGGCGCCCACAGGCCCGCCTCATGGCGGGGACATGGCCGCTGTCTCCGACCCCATGGAACTGGGTGCGCCCTGGGGACCCGCGCGCCCCGAGCCCTCTCCCACCCGCTTCCACCGGGTACACGGTGCCAACATCCGCGTGGACCCCTCCGGGACGCGGGCCACACGCGTGGAGAGCTTCGCTCACGGCGTGTGCTTCAGCCGCGAGCCGCTGGCCCCGGGCCAGATATTTCTGGTCGAGATCGAGGAGAAAGAGCTGGGCTGGTGCGGCCACCTGCGCCTCGGCCTGACGGCACTAGACCCCGCCAGTCTGGCGCCCGTGCCTGAGTTTTCGCTGCCTGACTTGGTCAGCCTCGGCCACACCTGGGTCTTCGCCATCACGCGCCATCACAACCGCGTGCCCCGGGAGGGCCGCCCGGCTGCAGAGGCAGCGGTCCCCAGCCGACCCCCAGCCCTCCTGGTGGAACCGTATCTGTGCATTGAGCAGTTTCGCATTCCCCGCGACCGCTTGGTGGGCCGCAGTCGGCCCGGACTCTACAGCCACCTCTTGGACCAGCTCTATGAGCTGAACGTGCTGCCTCCGACGGCGCGCCGTAGCCGCCTGGGCGTTCTCTTCTGCCCACGCCCGGACGGCACCGCCGACATGCACATCGTCATCAACGGCGAGGACATGGGCCCCAGCGCCCGGGGGCTGCCAGCTGCCCAGCCCCTCTACGCAGTGGTGGACGTGTTTGCCTCCACTAAGAGCGTGCGCCTGGTCCAGCTTGAGTATGGCTGTAGGTATCCCACCTCCTAGATAGCGACCCCTCCTGGCCCAGTGTGCGGACCTGAACTTGCTAGGCTTCCGAGCCAGCTAGCAAGGCCTTGGTCTGTCCAGCATTAATTTAGAAGGTGGGGAATCTGACCCCATATTATGCCACTGCTTGTGATCTTGGATACGTCATTCCCTAGCTCTGGACCTCAGTTACCGTCTTGGCTGTGAATGATTAGGATGCCTTCCAAGTTCACTTCTGGCTTTGACAATATTTTCTGTATTAATCCGAACTGATTTTAGATTCTGGGCCTCTGAGAGTTTTGTGCTCTTTTATTAAACAAATGTTCCTAGATTTGGGCATACCAGGTTAAAGGCATCACAGACCCCAGATTGAGAGCTTCTTAATCCGGAGGTTTGGTTCATTCTAGCCCCCATAAGCCCTTTATTTGGACCTCTGATCACATTTCATGTATTCAGTGAACCAGAGCCCCCTCTGAGCCAGGCCTGTGCTGGAGGCTGGAGTTGCACAGCTAAATCAGACACTTCCCCTGCCCCCAGAAGCAGCTACGTGGGGGGGAAGGGAGGGTACTGAGTGTTACATTAGAAGTTAGGCTGCAGCATTGTGAAAGTATTGCAAAAGAGGTGCTTATCTCAAACACAGGTGCAGCCCATGAGTCACAGGGATCTACAGAGTAGAAGGGAATTGCTCAACTTAACGACAAAGGGGGGACCGAGACCTAGATCTTTTGGGACTCAGCCTTAGACCCACCCTCCTGTTCAGGTTGCCTTTGACCATCTTCTTTCCACAGTGCCATCCCTGCAGACCCTGTGCCGTCTAGTGATCCAGAGGAGCGTGGTGCACCGTTTGGCCATCGATGGGCTCCACCTGCCCAAAGGACTGAAGGATTTCTGCAAGTATGAGTGAAGGCCGGCCTGCAGCCACCCTGGAGCAGCGTCCAGGGTCGCGTCCTGGCCTCAGAGCTGTGGCTGGTCTGAGATGGCCATACTGCTGTCAGCCAGAACCAGAAATAAACAGAGCCAATGCTGATCATCTCCTTACCCCTGAAGCCTGTGAGGAGCACTTCTTTTAGAATGACTGGTCAGAGCAAGAGAGAGCATGTTATTTTTAGTTTTAAAAATTCGTTCATTGATTTTTCAGAGAGGAAGGGGGAAAGAGAAACATCAATTTGTTGTTGTTCCACCTATTCGTTTACCCACTGGTTGATTCCTGTATGTGCCCCAACTAGGGACTGAACCCACAACCTTGGTGTATGGCAGTGATGGCGAACCTATGACACGCGAACTCATTGTTTTAGTTGATTTTTCTTTGTTAAATGGCATTTAAATATATAAAATAAATATAAAAAAATATACATCTTTGTTTTACTATGGTTGCAAATATCAAAAAATTTCTGGCCGAAACCGGTTTGGCTCAGTGGATAGAGCATCGGCCTGCGAACTGAAAGGTCCCGGGTTCGATTCCGGTCAAGGGCATGTACCTGGGTTGCGGGCACATCCCCAGTAGGAGATGTGCAGAAGGCAGCTGATCGGTGTTTCTCTTTCATTGATGTTTCTAACTCTCTGTCTCTCTCCCTTCCTCTCTGTAAAAAATCAATAAAATATATTTAAAAAAAAAAAAGAAAAAGAAAATATATTCTAAAAAAAAAAAAATTCTGTATGTGACACGGCACCAGAGTTAAGTTAGGGTTTTTCAAAATGCTGACACGCCGAGCTCAAAAGGTTTGCCATGACTGGTGTATGGGGATGACTTGGTGTATGGGGGTGACTTGGTGTATGGGGGTGACTTGGTGTATGGGGGTGACTTGGTGTATCAGGGATGATTCTCTAACCAACTGAGCTACCTGAACAGGGGAAGAGAAAGCATTTTATTTTATTTTAAAAATTCGTTTTAGAGAGAGAGACACTTCAATCGGTTGCCTCCCGCATGCACCCTGACCAAGGATTGAACCTGCAACCCAAGTATGTACCCTGATTGGGAATCAAACCCGCCACCTTTTGGTGTACAGGATGACGCTCCAACCAACTGAGCCACATTGGCTAGGGCAAGCGAGAGCATTTTAGACATCATCTAGACCAGTAGTTCCTATCCTGGCTACTCATCAGTTTATAGACTCCATCTCCAGAGATTCTTAGATTTGTTGGAAGTTTGGGCCTAGACATTGTTTTTGTAAAAGCTCCCCCCGAGATTCTGATATACAGCCGAGTTGAGAAGAACAGAGGTCTCAACTTTGGCACACATTATAGCCACTTGAGGAACTTTGAGAAATACTGTAACTGGGTCTGAGCCCTAGAATTCTGCTTTAATTAGTCTGGGATGAGGCTGGGCATCAGGATTTCCAAAAGCTCCCAAGGGAAACTAATGTGCAACCTGGTGTGAGAACCAGTGCCCTAGACCAGTGGTCGGCAAACTGCGGCTCGCGAGCCACATGGGGCTCTTTGGCCCCTTGAGTGTGGCTCTTCCACAAAATACCGACTTCTGCGCATGGGCCACGAAGTTTCAATCGCACTGTACGTGTGCGCCCGCACGTGGTATTTTGTGGAAGAGCCACACTCAAGGGGCCAAAGAGCTGCATGTGGCTCGCGAGCTGCAGTTTGCCGACCACTGCCCTAGACCAGTGGTCAGCAAACTCATTAGTCAACAGAGCCAAATATCAACAGTACGATTGAAATTTCTTTTGAGAGCCAAATTTTTTAAACTTAAACTATATAGGTAGGTAGATTGTTATTAACTTAATTAGGGTACTCCTAAGGCTTAGGAAGAGCCACACTCAAGGGGCCAAAGAGCCACATGTGGCTTGCGAGCTGCAGTTTGCCAATCACAGCCCTAGACCAACTACTTCATTTTGTTGATGGGAAACTGAAGCCCAGAGGTCATACAGGAAATGAATCGATGCAGAGAATCCCTTCTCTCACACTACAGTCACTAGACTCCATTATTTGTATCCCTGGTCATTTGGTTCCATACAAATGGTCTCATTTAGTTCTCACTTCTGGTGAGGTAGTGGGCAGTCATTACCCCCACTTTACCGATGAGGATATCAAGGAACAAAACTGTCCAGGAGACTGAACCAAGGTAAAGGCAAGAACCTAGAATGCCCAGATCCTGGTTTAGTGCTCCTTGAACCCCATCCCATTGTCTTACAGAGGTTCTAGAATGAATGGGTCAATGTTGTGAGGTAGATTCCAGGTACAGAAGGGAGGGACTATGAGGTGACATTCTAGAAGGGTGGGGAGGGGAGGGGAGAGGGCAGAGGACTATTTCCTCACAAACAGGCGCTTTGGGGTAGCCATGTCCTATTTCATGTCTCCACAAACTCATCTAGGTCTTCTGCCTTCCGGCCAAGGTGAGAGAGGGGCTCTTGGAACTGGAATGGGTGTAACTTCCCCTGAGAACTTGCTTCCTGGCTCTGGGGAGGTGGTGGTTTCTGCTAAGCATTTTGGGGCTGGCCCCCAAGTCAGTTCTTTTCAAAGAAAATCCATTCCCAAAGTGCTTGCCAATAGCTACCCACTTGCTCGCTCACTCATTCAACGAACACTTCTCCATCACTTAGAGCTGGGCACGGGGGTGTGGATGTTAGTATAACCTAGTTCCCAACCACTAGACAACCCTCTTCGGCTGGCCTTAATTGCTCCTGTTCCCAGTGCTCTGCTCCTATGCCCTGCCCCTCAGGGCCTCCTTCTCAAAGAGACCAAGAATAATAGTCCATCTCATTCCTGTCTCTGCAGGTGAGACTGCTTCTAGAGGCTCATCTCTTGGCCCCTATAGTCCTGTAGAGCCAGTGGTGGTGGCCTCTGGTGGACGAGGCCAACTGAACCAGAAAACTGAGCAGGTGGTACCTGCTGTCCAGGCCTGGGGCCCAACTCTGGCAGTGCCGGAAGCCAGGGGCTGCCCTGGGGGGCCTAGCTGGGAGACACTGCGGCAGAAGGAGTACGGCCGATACTGCCACAAGTTCCCCCATGTGAAGCAGCCTGAGAGCTTGGGCTGGGAGGATGGCTGCTCCAGAAGCAGAGCTCCCCACCTGGGTGGCTCCAGCAGGCCTGGGCCCCTACTACTGTGCGGGCTATCACCAGGAGTTGTGCCGAAGCCCTCTGAGGCAGGGGGAAAGGAGGCCGGCTCCCAGCCCGACATCTGCATCCTTACCCTGGCCATGATGATTGCTGGCATCCCCACCGTGCCAGTCCCAGGCCTGCGGGAAGAGGACCTAATCCGGGCGGCTCAAGCTTTCATGATGGCCCATCCAGAGCCAGAGGGGGCTGTGGAGGGGGTGCAGTGGGGGCAGGTGCATGCCCGCACAGCCTCTGGGCACATGCCCCTAGTGAGATCCAGGAGGGGCCAGCCTCCTGGCTCCTGCTTGTAGCTGATGAAATAGCATCAGACACAGAGGGTGGCTTCTCCGTATGATTTTTGGGCTGATAGGGTTGGGGGTGCCTCTGGCAGGGATGGGGATAGGGTGGGTGATTGAGCCACTCTGATGAATACCAGACTCCAGGAAGTTCCTCTAGAAACCACCGACCCAGGAGACAGGTCTTGTCAGAGTAATTATAATGAAAATTACCTGAGGTAGGGACCCTGCTTGGAGAGCGGAGGTTTCTTCTGTATTGTTTTGGGACTTGATCAAAACTTCTTGTACAAAGTCATAGGCAATGTGCATTTCCTCTTGCCTTACATTTCCCACCTGTTGAGGGCAGGTGATGAGACCACAGGCAAGGAAGGAAAATTAATACTTATTTGAGCACCCACTGGGCACCAGGCCCATTATATGCCCAGTCCTTTAATCTTACCAGTGCTGTGAGGATCTTCATTTTTATAGACGAACAAATTGGGGCTTAGACAGATGACTTGCCTGAGGTCCCATAGCTAGTAAAAGGCAGACCAGGTCTCAAAAATCAGGCAAGTAGGGAACCAGGATTTGCATGTAGCATCGGACTCCAAATTCTCTATTCTTTCCATGACATTTCCTAATGTGCCTTCCGCAAGATAAAAAACTAGACGAGAGCTAAAGTAGGCAACATTCAACTTTAATGACCTCAGGATGGGGCCAGGGTAGTAAAAAGACTGGGAACCTGGCTGCACCAGCTCCGCTGAGGGGCCTCTTCCTCTGGGAGTCAGGAGAGTCATCTCATGACTGGGGTAACTTATCCCAGACCTTGATCTTTACCCACTGTCTGTACCTCTTATCTCAGAGCAGAGGTCACCTGTTTTGTAAGGCCCTTGAGCTAAGAATAGCTTTTACCTTTTCAAAAGGTTATAAAAACAAACAAAACCAAAACCAAGTACCATAGACTGTATATGGCCAGCAAAGCCTAAAATATTTACTGTCGGGCCCTTTGCAGAAAAGGTTTGCTGACTCCCGTCTTAGGAAACTAGACATACTGTAGGTAGCAGGAGGCAATAGAAGACCTGTTTTGTCCTGGAGGGAGGGTCCAGGGAAATACAACATCGAGTGTGTGTGTAGGGGAGGATGTGTGTACCTGTGTGTGAGCATCTCTCAGCACAGGGTAATCACAGCTGGACCTGCTCGTAAGGGCCGATCCAGATGTCGGCCAGTCTCCGCAGGGTGCTATACCGCAGTTCAAACTCCTCCTGGCTGCAGTGTTGTAATAGCTGACCCACCTGCTCAGTGAGGAGAGCCACAGCCAAGTGCTTATCCAGGGTCTCACTCCACTTGCTGCCCAGGATGTCATCCAGACTAGCAGCACAGTCTGCTGTCCACTGAGGTGGCAGCATATTAGGCTGGAGCACCTGGTGCCGGGCTCTGAGCATGGCCAGGATGTGGCGGCAGGGCAGGTGGAAGGCCTGGTTAAAGTAGCAGTTGCAGCTGGCAGGGGGCTGGGGCTGCACTCTATGGGTGTCTTCCAGGATTTGTACATTCACTTTTTCAGAGCCAGAGCCAATGAGCTGCATAGATTTCTGGACCACGGCAAGCTCACCCAGGCAGAGCTGGGCTGCTGGCTCTGTGCAGATGGTGTGGAGGGAGTGCTGGATGCAGGCTTCTACCAACTGTTCCACTTTGGGGCTCTGGGGGCTGACGTCCGAGGGGGCACAATTGCTCTGGGAACTCAGGCCCAGGCTGAGGAATGCCTTGTCTCCAGAGTTCTGCTGCATGAATCGGAGCAAGGAGGTTATGCCTTGTTCCACAGATGGGGTGGTGCCAAAGAACTGGCTGAGGATGCGGGTGGTGACCTCCAGGCCCTGGAAGTAGTGGCTGCTCTCAGCTTGGCTTCTCCGACGGTGGGCCAGCCAGATGCGGTCATTGAGCAGCCAGTATGGGTGTAGCTTGGTCAGCTGGTCTGGGGGGATGCAGTTGCTCAGGAGTGCATATAACTTCCTCAGGTTGCCAGCAGTGGCTGAGCACATTGTGCTCTGCAGGGCGGTCAGGAGCACCTGCTTCACAGGCTGTTCGAGGGAAAGCTGATAGAACTTGCCCTGGAGGAACTTACAGATATGGAAGGCTGAGGGCAGGACCTCAGCTGTGGGGAACTCCATAGCTAGGATGGGCAGAGGGAAGAAGTAGGGATCTACCAGGATAGTACGGACTTTCTCCCAGGCTGGGTTAAACATCTTGAATACCTGGAACATCTGGGTCAGGCCTTCAGCATCCTCCTTGGCAGGAATGGCAAAGTAAACTGTCCGGGCAAGATGACCCTCCAGCTGCACCTGAGGGCCATCCGCCAGGAAGGTATATAACACCTTGCCCGTTGGGTTATAGGTCCGGTGGATAAATAAGGTATCAGGGAAATGGGCAAAGATGTCCTGCATAAAGTTGCTCTGATAGTTGAGGGCATCTAACTTGGCAGGCTTGCTAACCTGGTACAGCAGCATAGATGGGCTTGGGTCCTCAAGGAGGAGCTCATTCAGCATGGTCAGGGCCATGGAGGAGATGGGAAATGTCTAGATGCCAAGGTCAAAATACTTCTCTGCGAGGCTGCTGTACAGGAGGCTCTCAGTCTCTCAAGTTCCAACTAAGTTGAGGCTTGAGGCTGGACTGTATTTCCCAGATCTTGTTCCAAAGAGGGGCCTATGGAGAGGAACACAGGTTTAAGGAGATAGTGGAGGCATGGCTCTTCAGTTACCCAGACAATATTTATTGAGCGCTTACTGTGTATTAGCACTGTTCTGGGGGAGATAATACAATAAACATGTAAACAAATAAACGAGGACATATCAGATAATGAAGGTTACAAAGACCACAATTCTGGGTAACAGAGAGTCAACTGGGGGTGGAGGGAAACTTTGGCTAAGGTGGTCAGGGAAGTCCTTTCTGGGGGAAGAGAGGATGACATTGGAGCTGAGACCTAACTGTTAAGCTAGCCATTTGGTTCCCTAAGATCTAAATGGGTGTGAAGGCGAGTGCTGCATATAGTCTGTTTTTTAAAATAGCATTTAAAATATTTGTACAGCACTCTATATTTACAAGTTACCTTTTGGCATCCATTCTTTCACGTGGTCCTGGTGTATACAAGAGAAACGCAATTGCCCCAAATTTGCTGTGTGATCTTGGGCAAGTCAGTGACACCTTCTGAGCCTCCACCTCTTCAGCCTTAAAACAGGGCTAACAAATATGCCGCTATGTAAACACCGACATGAAGAGCAAAGTCCTAGTCAAATGTTTCCACTATCTGACCCAAAAGCAGGTTACTGTCCCCATTTTACAGATGAGAAACTGAGGCTCAGAGAGGTTAAATGACTTGCCCAACATTATTCCGTAAGTAGCTGGACGCTGAGTCGCTGGCTCGGGACCCTGACTGCTTTCCAAAGTACCTGAGCTCCATAAACCAGGGACAGAGCAAGGACGCGGCCTCTGACCTCTCACCTCCAGCCCGATGGGAGGATGTGGATGTCAGGCTCTTCCACACGGAGTCCGGCCGGAGCCAGAAGAGACGTCAACCTCCCGCCCCCTTGGGAGCCGCGTCCAGGCCGACCGTGAGCAGTTGCCTTACATCTCCACCCCTTCCGAAATCACTCACCCACAGGCTGGCTCAGCCGCCATTTCTCCCTATTTGACCCGGTCTCTGGCTCTGACTGACCTCTAGACTCACCAACCGCGGCGCCAGTTTCCTGTGACTCGGGCCAATGGCCGGAGGAGCTCACGTTAGGTCTTTCGAGCTCGGACCAATCGTAGCCCGGCAACTTGTGGGCGGTGCTGTTGCCAGGGTTACGAGGGGGCTCGGCTGGCGGTAACCAATAAGAGCCTGAGAATATTTGCTTCCAGGAGAGTCTGAGACCTGAACCTGGAACTCTGGAACCTTCTGTGTGTGGAACCGACTAGAAGGGCGTGTTACTATGGAAACGCCCTCAGCGGCCGAAAATGAAGTGGAAAATAAATAGTTTTGTTTCAAGAATTTTCTTCTTGTCTAGTCAAATTCCAAAGGCCCCGCGTGTGGGGGGGAGGGCGGTAGGAAAGGGTGCCTGGGTAGCTGTACTGAGTCTTCTGCCGTGGGGAAACTGAGGCCCAGGTTTCAAGTTCCGCCTCTAGGTCGGGGGTTAGGAGCCCAGCCCTTGGGTTTGAGAAAACCCAGATCTCCTTGAGAGAGCTTGGTGTTGCCCAGCCAACCGCTCCCCGTGTTTTACAGAAAGAGAGATCCGAAATGCGGCTGTGACTTGTTACGGTCATGGTGAACCAGTGCAAGAACCAAGACGACTGCCACCTCTGACCTCAGTTCCCCTGAAGATGGTTGGCTCTAGGTGATTAAGAGTACAAGCTAGCAGCAACAACAGTGTTGATGCTTCTAACTGTGGCGAAATGTTCCGTTTATATAAATCTAGAGGGGAAACTAGGCCAACACTGATTTTTGCAGGCGAGGAAACCCGGGTCAAAGAAACTAGGGACTTTCGTACAGGCTCCCTGCAAGCTGCGGACAATTGATTAGATTCCGGTTTCACCCGGCCGCGTGGCTCCGTGGATAGAGCGCCGGCCTGCGGACTCCAGTCCCAGGTTCGATTCCGGTCAAGGGCATGTACCTTGGTTGCTGGCACATCCCCAGTGGGGAGTGTGCAGGAGCCAGCTGATCGATGTTTCTCTCTCGTCGATGTTTCTGACTCTCTGTCCCTCTCCCTTCCTCTCTGTGAAAAATCAATAAAATATATTTAAAAAAAAGATTCCGGTTTCGCCTGGCCCGCGTGGCTCAGTGGTTGAGCGTGGTCCTATGAACCACGAGATCATGGTTCCATTACTGGTCAGGGCTCATGCCCAGGTTGCAGGCTCTATCCCCAGTGTGGGGTGTACAGGAGGCAGCTGATCAATAATTCTCTCTCATCACTGATGCGTCTCTCTCTCTCTCCCTCTCTGAATCAATAAAAATATATTAAAAAACAAAATACATAAAAAGATTCCGGTTTCCTCCCTCCCAATTTGGCCTCATCCTGTTGAAATTTTTTTTTTAAATATATTTTATTGATTTTTCACAGAGAGGAAGGGAGAGAGATAGAGTTAGAAACATCGATGAGAGAGAAACATCGATCAGCTGCCTCTTGAACATCCCCCACCGGGGATGTGCCCACAACCCAGGTACATGCCCTTGACCGGAATCGAACCCGGGACCTCTCAGTCCGCAGGCTGACACTCTATCCACTGAGCCAAACCGGTTTCGGCCCTGTTGAAATTTGAAGCAGCCTGAAATCAATGTAAAAGGGTTTGGTTGGTAGGAAGGGGATGAAGTGGTGGATTAAGTCTTTGAATTTGGGGCATCAAGTTGTTTTGCTTCACAACCCCCACTTGATTCCGTCCCTATTCAAGCAGCACACGTTTCCCTTGATTTTATTTAAAAAAACAAAAACCTTTAATATGAGTAAAAATAGACACACATAACAGATTCTTTGTAAAGAGCAGCAATAATCAAGGATCACCCTCCTTCCCTTGTCCCTGAAAACAAGCCCTTTTACCCGGTCTATTTCATCTCACCCTATCCTGGGTCATGAGGTTCATCTCTGTAAAGTGAGTAAGATCTGTTCTCAGGGATTGGGGGAGACAGAGGGATGACCTTTCAACACGGAGACAACTTTGGCCTTAAACAATGAATGGGGCTCCCAAAGCATGCCAAAGGTAGGACAAAAAAGGGGGGGATTCAAAGGACTGTCACACAGTGGGATCCTCTTCTCTCTACTGTAACAATCTTCCTAGCCCTCCCTAGGAAGGCATTGGTTAAAATGCTGACCCCTAGCATGACCTGCCCACTGTGAGCTCTCAGACTCCCAAGGAGAGGGGTCTGTGGTTCAGTGCGCCACAGCAAGTGCTTTAATCATGAATCGTGGCTCCAGCAAGAGGGAATCCCTCCCCTTCCTCCTGTTTTCCCCAGAGAAAAGGGAGGCGGCCCACATCCTTGAAGTCCCCTGGCTGCTGAGTGGGCGCAGGTGGCTGGTAAGGATCAGCCCAGATGTCCACAATCTTGCGCAAGGTGGAAAAGCGCTCCTCCAGCTCTGGCCCCTCACTCTGCATTAGCAGGTTTGCTAGTTCCCTGCTTAGGTCCTGGATCATGTCCTTCCTTCCTGGCTTCCCAGGCTGGCCTGTGCTGGGGACCACAACAGGGTCCCGGAGCTCCCCACTAGGCCCAAGGAGGTGCTGGTACCTCTTTTGCCACCGGCGGCAAACCATGGTTTCACCCACTGGCTTCTGGCTGTTGTGTAGCAGGGCCAAAATGTGTCGGCATGGCAGGTGGTACCGTTGTTGAAAGGAACAGCTGCAGCTACAGCCATCTTTGCTAACCTGGTGAGAGTCCTCCAGCAGCTTAATGTCCACTGAGGAGCCAGCCATATCCATCAGGTGGGTCGAGTTCTGTGCCACCTCCCATTCATTGTAGCACAGCTTATAGGCCAGTTCGAAGCCACTCTGGTGCAAGGTGTCTAGCATGCCACCCTGGAAGGGCTGCACCTGTGGCTGCTGCTCCACCTGCACCTGCTGTAGGGGTGGCTTTGTCTCTTTCAGGGGGCGCCTGCTGAGGCTCCCTCCACAGATTTCAAAAGGCTTCTTGGACTTTGGTAACATGCTTGCTGGCCGGGCTTTCTTTGACTTGGGAGGAGCTGTGGGCAAGTTTTTCACACCTTTGGTATTAAAGAAGTCGATGTAATCCACAAAGCGGAGGATGCAGTCCAGCAGGGACTGCTGTTTCCTAAAGAGACTGGACACCTTGCTGGCGACGATGTCTAGGCTGTCCATGTAGGTGTTGCACGCATGCAGGCCCTTCCTGACGTGCATGTACCACAGCAGTTCACAGGAGAACCAGTGGGTCTGCAGGAAGCTGAAGAGCTCCTCATCCAGTAGGGCTTGGGACATCTGACAGAGATTCTGCAGGCTGGCATCAGAGGTGACAAACACAGCCTCCCGTAGGGCTTCCTTCATGAGACTTTTAAAGGATGGATTTGCCGAACTACGATGCAACTTCTTCTCTAGGAGTCGGGTTGTGTGGTAGATGGAAAGGAGAATGCGGGCAGCAGGGAAGATTTCCTGCAGGATGGCTCGGTGAGGGAAGGATGGGTCCACAAAGATGACCTTGGTCTTGGGCCAATCTGAGTTGAACTCTGTGAAGATACCCAGCATCTTGGCCACAGACGCGGCTGTCTCGGCCCTGAGCACAGCAAAGTGTACCACTCGACTCTCTCGCTCCTTGTTCTCCACCAGGAACGCGTAGAGGATGTGGCCCTGGGCATTCTCCACCCGGTGCAGCAAGAGATTCTCTGGGAAGCGGATGAACAGGTTGCTCATCTTGCTGCTCTGAAAGCTGAGCCGGTCCAGGTCCTGGCTGTTGCCTACACTGAGGGAGGCCATGGAACCCTCATCCACCTTAAGAAAGTTCTTCATCACTTTCGCTACCTTGGCCAGGTCAGAAGGAGTGATCCCCTCCCGCCCTGGCTTTGAGGCTGCTTGGACCTCACCTAAGCAAAATGAAGGTTCAGCCGGGGGCTTCTCAGCCCTGGTAAAGTCTTTTTTAAATGTGGGCTGCTCAGGCTCAGATTTCTGCAGATACGTTGTCTTCTGAGATTCGGCAGTGTCTCCTTCAGGATCCGCAGTTTTGGAGTCAACATGTATATGCTGGGTGTTGAGTTCACTGATAAATAATCTATCCAGTTTCTCACTATACTGCAGGAGCAAGTATGCGGGGCACATGTCCGCCTCTGGTGTTCTCTTCCTGTTTGACTGGATCCGACTACAGACAAATTTCACCTGCACATATCTGGGGAAAGTAGAAGGGACAATGAGAAAGGTGCTGACCACCCTCTTTCTTTTACAAGACAAGGCCCTCTTGGTCTTGGACTTACAGTGGCTGATATATTTTCTGGAGACCACAGTGCAGTGTGGGATGTAGGGAAGGAAGATTTATGTTTACTCTCCAATCCCAGAGTATGCAGCTCTTTCTTCAAGACCCTATCTAGCTAAAACTCCCTTCATTTTTATCTACTGCAGTTCTAAGCCCCAACTCCTTTCATTTACTCTGTTGCCCATCTGTAGCTGCCGACAATTCAATCTGAGCAAGATACAAAGGAAAACAGATAAGAGGCAATAGCAGGGTACCTAGCTGGTTACTGTTTAAAATGTTCCCTTCTGCCCGGCCAGTGTTGCTCAGTGGTTGAGCATCAACATATGAACTGGGAGGTCAGGGTTCGATTCCTGGTCAGGGCACATGCCCAGGTTGCAGGCTCAATCCACAGTAGGGGTCTTGCAGGAGGTAGCCCATCAATGATTCCCTCTCATCATTGATGTTTCTCTCTCTCCTCCCTTTCTTTCGCTGAAATCAATCAATCAATCAATAATCTATACATATAAAAGCCAAGCGACCTGAACTCCAGAATGACTGGAACAACTGGTCCCTATGATGTGCACTGCGGCTGGCCAACTGGCCCAATAGGGGAGCAGCCCCTCCCCCCAGCCTGCCCGGCTCCCAATTGCCCCCCCATCAGATTGGGGGTGGGGCCAGCTGGCCAACCACCAGCAGCCCCTCCACCCCAGCCCTGCCCAATGGGCCCCCATGGGAGGGAGTCAGCCTGACCCCACCCATGCATGAATTCATGCACTGGGCCTCTAGTACTGTGTAAAGATCTAAACTTAAAAAAAAAATTTTCCCCTTCGTTCCTACCTTTTGGGAGCCACTGCCTACTCCAAACAGCAAAGATAAAAATGACCCTGTCCTGGCTGGTGGTTCAGTTGATTTGAGCATCATCCAGTACACCAAAGGTTGGGGGTCCAATTTCTGGTCAGGGCACATAACTAGGTTTTGGGTTCTATCCCTGGTCAAGACTCACACAGGAAGGCAAGCACTTGATGTTTCTCTCCCCTCCACCCTAACCCTCTCTCTAAAATCAATGGAAGCCCAGGCCCATGTGGATCAGTTGCTTGAGTGATGTCCCTTACACCAAGAGGTCGCTGGTTAGATTCCAGGTCAGGGCACATGCCCAGGTGCAGGATCGATCCTCAGTAGGGGGAGTGCAGGAGGCAGCTGACTGATGTTTCTCTCTCTAAAATCAATAAAAACATATTTAAAAATAAATAAAATAAATAAAAATATTTTTAAAAATAAAAATTAATTAATTAAAAAGCATAGCCTCAGGTGAGGATTAATAAGTAAAAATAAAAAATAAAAAAGTGGCCCTTGGGAGTCAGGAGTAAGGTTAAGTCTGGGCCTCTTCTCTAAGACAGAGATGTCTGTTCACCTTTCATTTAAAGGAAAATGTCCACATCCTAAGAGATTTTGAGAACCCCTGGGCTAGATCATCTTAAGGGTTCCTGCTGGTTTTCCCATTCGAGGAGGAAAGTGATGATTCAAAGAAGGGTAACTAAATTGATTATCTGCTCTTTCTTCCTATCACCTTTCAACCCATGCTTCAAGGCCCAAATCAAGTCCCACCTTCTCCAAGGAGCCTTTGTGGATGCCCTCAAACCATGGTAATTGCTCCTTTCTCTGTATTTATAGCATTTATTTAAAATAAAAGGCTTAGCAGCTTCTCTGGATAGCAGTATACCTAGTGGTTAAGCAGTGGAGACACTGGAGGCTGACTACTGGATTTGAATTCCAGCTCCACCACTCAGGAGCTATTTGACCTTGGGCGATTCACTTCACCTGTGTGTGGTTTCCTCATCATAAAATGAAACGATCTTTTTTTCTTTTTTTAAATATATTTTATTGATGTTTTACAGAGAGGAAGGGAGAGGGATAGAGAGTTAGAAACATTGATGAGAGAAACACCGATCAGCTGCCTCCTGCACACTCCCCACTGGGGATGTGCCTGCAACCAAGGTACATGCCCTTGACCGGAATCGAACCTGGGACCCTTGAGTCCGCAGGCCAACGCTCTATCCACTGAGCCAAACCGGTTAGGGCAAAAATGAAACGATCTTATTAGGGTTGTTATGAGAATTAAATAGGCCACACTTCTCTAGTGTTGACAGAAAGTTTTTAAACCTCCAGTTGGAAACAACAACGGATTAAGATATAGAAATAAAATCATAATAACATTAGTGCTGGATTTCCTTGGCCCCTGCTACCTATTCACCATCTTGAAAATGCATACTCCTGAGTTGCGGTCTCCACACTTTAACCACTGAGCAACCAGCTGGGGCTCTTTTATTTATTTTAATAAAAGTCAGCTACTGATATCACAGCTCTTATGCCTTGTGACATTCACTTGGGTGTTTATGCAGTACATTCCAATTGGATGGGGCTGTCTAGTTATTCCTCAGTGTTTTCCAAGCACCTAACATAATGCTCGCTATTCCTTCATCAAAGATCTGCTGGATAAATGACTCATGGACCACTCGTGGGTGGAATGGGTCACACCCCTGCCTCCTCAGGAAGTGTCTTGGCCCAAAGACTAGAGGAGGGGGAAAATCTCAGCCTCTGGCATGACCTGACACAACCTGGGCATTTCATCAATCCCTTTCCAAACACCCTATGCCAGCTGGTGCTGCTTGCTCACCCTGTGGGGCAAGCTTAGGAAAACAGGATATGCCAGGACCACAGTAACAGGGAGGAGGGGCCCAGGGCCGCAAATGCACGTGTACGCACAGTGCTGAGGCAGCAACACCATCCCCACCTTGGGGCCATGAAAGGGCTGGAGCAGCCCTGTAGTATGGCACAACCGTGAAGGATGACTGTGGTGTGGCCGCTGCCTATGTCTCCAGCTGCGTTTACCACCCCCTCACCATCTTGTTTTTGTGTGTGTAGTCAAGCTGTCTACAGCTTCCCGTGTTCACTATGCTGTTTGCTCATGCTTGTTTCAGTCTGGAATGCCCTTCCCACCAGTCTTCATCCCAAAGCTTACTCATTCTTCAGGACTATCTGCAAACATCACCTTCTCTAGGGAGTCTTCCCTGAGCCTTTAGATCGGGCCCTTCCCTTTTGATGGCTCAACAGCCTAGCACAGCTCTAGCTCATCAAATTATATGGACTTGATGTGCTCTTAGCACATTTGTTCAACTAGTCCAAAGAAAGATAATGATGAGTGCCAACCATAAAGCTCTTTCTACCTTTCCTGGTTCCATTAATGACACCAATTCCCAGTGTAGAAAGCTTGGCACTCTTTTTCTCCCCGCCCCCCCCCCCCCTTTTTTAAATGTTACAGAGAGAAACATCGATTTGTTGTTCCACTTGTTTATGTATTCATTGGTTGGTTCTTGTATGTGCCCTGACTGGGGATCGAACCTGTAACCTTAGCGTGTTGGGACGGTGCTCTAACCAACTGAGCTACCTGGCCAGGGCTGGCATTCTTTTTAATTCCTCATTCTCCATGTATCTATACCAATATGTTAACCAGACTTTTAAAGTCTATCCTACCACTATACATATGACAGATTATTATATGCCAGGCTACATGTTACTCTCTAAAATACATAATTTTATACAATGAAAAGGGTCCTATTATCCAAATTTTACAGTTGGGGAACCAGGCTTAAAGAGGTTCTTCTCAAGGATGAAAATCTGGAATTTAACCTTCCAGTTAAAATGGAAAGATATGGGATTTGAACTAAGCCAGCTTGGATACAGTCTGCGTAGTTAACTATTATGCTGCCTGTTTCTAAATATTTCTCCTTTCTCTGAATTCTCCTTTTACCTTCCTCAACACATTGGTTGTTCAGGTTCAATAACTCCCTTAAAGATCTCTAACCTTGCCAAAACCGGTTTGGCTCAGTGGATAGAGCGTCGGCCTGCGGACTGAAGGGTCCCGGGTTCGATTCCGGTCAAGGGCATGTACCTGGGTTGCGGGCACATCCCCTGTGGGAGATGTGTAGGAGGCAGCTGATCTATGTTTCTCTCTCATCAATGTTTCTGGCTCTCTATCTCTCTCCCTTCCTCTCTGTAAAAAATCAATAAAATATATTTAAAAAAAAAAAAAAAAAAAAAAAGATCTCTAACCTTACCGTCCTCGTTGGTATCATGCTTTTCAAACTCAGTGGGTACTAGGTTGAAGCCTGTTATTTTCTTCCTGCTTCCCTTAAGCTTTTTTTTTTTTATTGAGATATAACTTTCATACTTGGAAGTACACATTCTTTTGTAAGAATTCTTTGATTGTTTTAGTTATTTTAATTTGAACTTATTTCTGTCTCTCAAGTTAAAGCAAAGATTCCCTTCAAGGCAAGAATAGGGTTTTATATAGTCATTTGTTGGTATCTGCTAGGGATTGGTTCCAGGAACCCCAAGAATATAAAAATCTGCATATGCTTGCCCTGGCCAGAGTTGGTTAGTTGTTAGAGTGTTGGCCCATGCACCGAAGGTCATGGATTTGATTCCCAGTCAAGGGCATGTACCAGGTTGCAGGTTTGATCTCCGCCCCGGTCAGCACATGTGAAGGAGGCAAACAAACGATGTGTCTTTCTCACATCCACGATTCTCTCTCTCTCTCTCCCCCACTCCCTCCCTTCCTCCTTTCCACTTTCTCTAAAAATCAATGGAAAAAACATCCTCGGGTGAGTATTAACCAGAAAAAAAAAAATCCACATATGCTCAAGTCCCTTATATAAAATGGCATGGTGTTTGCATATAACCTATGCACATCCTCCCACTTACTTTATATCATCTCTAGATTACTTATGATACCTAATACAATGTAAATGCTATGCAAATAGTCAGTGTACTGTATTGTTTAGGGAATGACAAGAAGAAAAAGTCTATACATGTTCAGTACAGACACAATCATCAACCATCAAAGGTCTGACTACACAGTACATGCCAGCAACAACATA